GTTTAGGATTTGCCGACTTTCTAAAGATCGCAAGTCCGTTTCATAAACCGGGTTCATAATGCTGTAAGAGGGCCAACTCGGAATAAAAGCCCAACTTCTAAATTCTGGTGAGCTCCCACCCATTCATCGCTGTCAGTTTTTTAGTTACGTTTGAAAAAAAAGGCTCACCCCTAGAAGGTAAGACAGGACAGGGCAGAGGATTGGAAAACGCCCCATTCAAAACAGGAGAATACAATTTCGTACATCGCCTGAGTTGTTAAGTCTTATCAGTCACTAATGGGGATCTTTCAATATATAAAAATTCAGCACGACAACGAGTCTTAGAGGATACAGACATGTTTATTCATTTTCTTTGTTTGTGTTCTCTAAGACTCGCCATCATGCTGAATTGTTTTAGAACTTTTCGCTAAACACTGTCACTACTCTAAAACAGTAATCAGTGAAACATTGTGGTGGTGATTGATCTTAGGCAAATAAAAAAAGCTTAAAAACAATACGGTAATTATAGTATTGACGCAAAGCAGGGGCACCCAACGACGGCTTTCTGCAAAATATCTGCTCGGAAAAGCAAATATTGCCTAGAATTTTCTTTTATTTGAGGACAGCTAAAAATTTCGAGATGACCGTTCCATTCATGTACAATTTTCGGAAATAAATTCCCTACGATTTTCTAAAGTAAGTTTAATTTTTCACATTTCACTCCCTAGGTTAGGCTATTTTTCGTAGAAAAAAGGAAACCTTAAATTATTTCCGGATTCAAAAATGTGATGGAGAGAGGAATCAGAAAAATTTTCACTTTCGTAATACGTTAAATTGCATCTAAAATTGCATCTAAAATTTTGGTGACAATAATATAGAAGCCCTTGTAATGTCGAAAAGACTCAAGCACCCCTAGGATGACTGAATAGATATAGAATGTATTTCAAGAGATCTATTAAAAAAGCACTCAGAATAGCCTCAAAAGTGTTTTCGATGTATTTAAGAGGAAACCGTCGATGGGTGCCCCTGGCAAAGAGCACTTAATTCCAGGGAACACTTTTGTTATTTATTACAATTTAATGGCAAAAGGTTTCACGTAACTGATAAATACAAAGGCATTTTCATAAGGACGGTCTGTAAAAGAGTCAAAGACCCCATATAAGACAGACCACCTTCTAAAAAATATTCATGTCATGAAAACTAAGATTTAATAAGACAGACAATTAAAAAATGTGAAAATGCGTATGGAGATATGTATAAAAAAGACAATCACTAAAATAATAATAATAATAATAATAAAAAAATCACACGTTTCCAGTTAAAAAGTCCCTCACTCCTTTCTTAAAACTAGCAATAGTTGTTGCCTGACGAACAAGCAATGGTAGAGTGTTCCACATGTCCACGATCCTATTGAAAAAACTAAGCTTAAATGTATTAGTTCTAGCATAATTCTTTTTAAAAGTACATTAATCTTTTCCCCTTAAAGGATACCGATCAGAATCTGAGAAAAACTGTACATATGTAGATAGATCAATATTTATATAGCCATTCAGGGCTTTATGCAGGAAAATTACGTCAAACAAAAATTGCCTTCGTTCTAAGGACAACAAATTGAGCTTTTTTCTCCGTTGTTCGTCATCATCATGGTCTTCAAAATAAACTTACTATAGTTGCCCTTCGCTGAATTCGCTCCAACTTAGAAATATTTCTAGATGTGTGTGGTGACCACACAACACTGCAATACTCTAGCTGTGATCTGACCAGGGCAAGATACAGAGTTCTCAATGTAGAAACATCTTGAAATCATTTACAGGTCCCTTAGACCTAGGATCTTGTTGGCCTTATTCGACATTTTATCAATATGAGTGCTCCAAGACAGATTGCAGATTGCATTAGTTAACATTTCTTCACGTTAAACTCCCTGAGGTTTTGTTAACTCGATGCATATAAATTGTCGAGATCTGGGCCGGGTTGTTCGAAGCGGGGTTAAGGTAACCCACGGTTAGTGCGAAATTTGAACTCGGATATAAAAGCTTAAAAAGCAAATTCAGTTTAATTCTCTTTGCCTACAATTTGATGACTGGACACTCTAAAAAGAATAGAGAAAATTATCCGATAGTGAGCTTTTCATAAAAAGAAAAAGAAACCTGCTGGGTAAAATTTAACCCCGGGTTAGCGCTAACCAGCGTTGGAACAACTGGGCCCTGACTGAAATACGGAATGATCAGCTGGACAGTTTATAATCCAGGATGTTTTGCCGTCGTTAGCATATAATGACACACAGTTTCCAGGCAAATCACCAATGAAAATTACAAAGAAAAAAGGGCCCAATAAGGAGCCCTGAAGTACGCCTGATAGAATAGCACACCATGTAGAATCTATTCCTTCTATGACAACTCTCTGTTCTCGGTCGGTGAGATAATCCTTACACTAATTCAAAGCGCACCGGAGATGCCAAAATTACACATTTTTGCAGTAAGATATTATGTGCCACTCTGTCAAAAGCCTTTGCAAAGTTCACGAAAACAACGTCCGCCTGTTTGCCCTCATCCAACCATTGATGGTGTGACAGAACTAACTGAGTAAAGATATATTACAACTTAGATAACTATTTGGTATTTCATCACGTTTGTCAAGATCAGTATATTTACAAAGTTTATCAAACCAAAGTAATACTCGTGTTGATATAAGACATGTAAGTCATTGAGCTTATTTGAAGCAAGCGTGAATTGAAGAGCAGGCCTTGACGAGAGTAGCAGAAGTCACGTAGAACGAAAGAAGCCCTGACTAATATAGTAGACGTAGGTGCAGAAGGTCTATACAACTTTGACGTCTCCACTATGAGGACGACTAACTGGTCCTGGCTATCCATTCTCCTTGTGCTTCACCTTCCTCCGTAACGTATCAAAATGGCGCCTACTTTAAAAAGTACAATTATCACCTGTTTACTTTGCGGTCTCAGACAAGACTTCTTCATTGAGATCCTGGGTATATACATTTATGTACAGCTGTGATAGTAGTTGTCAACGTAAACATGTTTCCTCTCAGTTTACAAGTCCTTTGTTTCCGTTGCTCATTCGCCATCTTTCAAATTGCTCTTATCAAATGCACCTGCGATGCAAAAAAAACAAAAAACTAATCATGACGGTTCCCTTTCGTATGTATTCTTTGCACGATTTATTTCAGCCATCGATCAACATGCTTCTGTTGCTCGTTGCGCTAAATGTTTTACCTAAATATCTGGCACAGATTTCTTCAAAGTCAAACAAATAACAAAACCTTTACATTTTGAGGAATCATTTATATGCTAAAAATTCAGTAAAGTCATATTGTATCACTTTCAGTTTAAATGTGATTCGTATAATATTCGCATTGCATACCTAGTGTTCCGTCACGGGGAACTAAGTTAAGGGAGGCAACCGCGACTGCCGCGACTGCCGCGACTGCCAGAATAATAGGCATGCCGAATAATAAGAGTAAGCGACGTCAACCGGCACCAGGGGAGGTGGGAGGGGCGAAACTTCTAAGTCACTTCCACTGAACCCCGTTGAACTAGCCAAGAGGCGGGCAAAAACTAAGCAATTCTAACCAAGGGCCGCAATGCATCATGCCACGAGCGCGCAGGCCCAACACCACGGAATTTAAAAGAGTTACTTCATTCCCGCGTCACCGGCCAATTATGTATGCAGTGAGAATATTTTACTTTATTTCAAATTCCTTGGATTCGATTGCTGTTTTTATACTGATCAGATTATAGCTTGAAGCAGGGGATTGATATCAAACCAATCATGCTATCCATTGCCGCCCGAGCAGCCCAAGCAGCCTGTGCAATGGTTGCCCAGACTATCAGCCATCTCCTCTGGTACAAAATCGCGACTACGAAGAGAACTAAAGCAAAACGTATTGTAGAACCCAATCGAATCGAAAGGAATACTTTCTTGGGGGCATATTAAATCTTTCGACTTCTCCGCGGAACAAGCATCATAAAAGAGACGACTGATGACAAAAAACCTCCTTTTAAGAACACACGAAATCGACAAGGGAGTTGCTCTTAGCTCATTTGCCAGAAAAATACCCGTATAAAATAGAAGTTGCAAAATCAAATTCTCCTGCAGCTGCTTGGATTAGATTAAGTACCCAGGGAATCTTCCCGTCTGCTTATAAACTCTCGCCCATCGGTAATTAGTACGTATACCCTCTGCGCTGTCTCTGGTTCCCTGAGGATGAATCTTTTTAAGACTAAAAATACTAGCAGCGTTTTTTTAGCCTGTTCCAGGCTCTCACATAGTAGGGATGAAGCGGTGAAAGGCGTGCGGAGCGACTCAGTCGCGGAGCCTGGAACAGGCTACATTTTTTCTTTCATCAGGTACACCCTCAAGAAAAAGTGTGTTTAACACTTAGTTCTCTTCTCTGTGATACCGTAAAATTCGGAAAATAAGCCCCTCCATGTATGAGCCCCTCCAAAAATAAGCCCCCCATTTCGGTAACGCCAAAAACGCTCCTTTAAATCGCCCCTCCAAATTTAAACCCCCGGGGACTTGTACTTGGAACAAAGCAAAAACGGTAAATTTACTTCCAACTATAAGGCAAGCCCAATCGATTTTGAAACGCAAATTTCCCTCCGTAGAAAAGTCCCTCCGCATATAAGCCCCTCCAAAAATAAGCCCCTCAAAAAAGAGTTTTAAAAAATATAAGCCCCAGGGCTTATTTTCGGAATTTTACGGTATATTAATAACTAAATATATTAATAAATCTCAACTATCGTTTTCTACATTTTCATTTTAGTTAGTTAGAGATTCTAGCATGCTTTACGAAATATTCCATACAAATCGGAAAATAATTAAATTCGGCCTTCTCTCCAGTTGCCTCACTTCCATGAACAGGGTTGAAAAAGACAATAAACAAAAAAACTAAGAAAACTCAGTACAACTCCCTTAATAATATTTTCCAAAATGATGCGTATTGTCACGAACATCAATTTCACAAATTTTGACTAAGATAACTAAAAAACCTAAAAATGATATCAAATACAAACCTTTGAATGTCACATTATCTCCAATCAGCATAAAGGGTGCCCACTGCATGATGTCAGAAAAGCCAGTCTCTCTCATCGACTTCATGGCCTGATGAAGAGATTCACTGGCACTTTCACCATGAACAAGGTGCTCGTGAAAACGATTCATAAACCACATGGTAGCTTTGTCATCTACAGCCCACAGCGCCGCCAGCACGGCGCGTGCACCCGATGCTAGAAATGCTCGAGCGATTCCAACAATTCCCTCAGCTCTAATCTGACCACTTGCACTATGACAGCAGCTGAGGACAACCAGCTTGGCTGTTAGTCGAACTTGTGAAATTTCGGCCATCGTCAATAAGTAGTCTTCTTCGTGTGGAGTTCCGCAGGAGCTTACAGGGGAAAGAGCTATTTCTCCACGTTCGGCATAACCATGAGCTGCGAAGTGAATGAGACTTACTGAATGCATGCTTTCCAGGACTGCCTGCTTAGTTGCATCCTTTCCAAGCAACGGTTGAACACCGAGCAGTCGCCCAATCATCTCTGCTTCCTTTCTCGCCCAAGGCAGTGAGTTTAACTGTAGAATTTTTCCTCGGTAGTATACATCACTAACGTCTGGCTCCCCTACGATCAGTGCACCGGTTTTACTATGGTAGTCTGCTGGACTGAGCTGAATCAACTTAAGAGTCGTCAAGGAAGGGACAATGCGAATCCTGAAAGTATCCGATAAATACTTTCCATTACCATCCTTTAAAGCAGCAAAAGGAATTGGATACAACAAGTTATCCGGTATAATAATGATTTCTGATTCTTGGAGTAAGTCAGCTACAGGAGAGACTATCATGTTGTAACCATCAGCAAGGGTTAAAGGTTTAGAGTCGTGATTTTCGCCTTCCTCTTCTTCGATAAGACGCAAAGATCCGAAGCTGTCACTCTGAGATAGTTTGCATGATAGCGGGGAACTTACACATGAAAATAATGATCGATCTTCGCATTGGTCTTGACGTAAATCAAGAGAGCCACCAAATGTCCGATTTCCAAACACTTTATCTGCACTTTCTTTGAGTCTCGTTTGCCGAAAAACTATAATTTTGTTTGGCTTGAGGATCCAAAAGTACATATTATCATCGAAGCAGGAAACATAAAGACAAGAACTAAGTGCATTTTTGTTCATGATGTTCTCAATACCAATCCATGACTGTGGGTTGACTGATACCCCTTTTTCCACACAGTACTTATCTGAAAGTACGTCTGTCAGTGCTCTGGATCGTCCAAGCTCGGCAACGTAAAGAGCTTCATAATAACCGCCTGTAGCAATTAACAACCTACAAAGAAGAAGGTAGGGGGACGCATGCTCATCAAAAAAAGAAATTTTGAATTTATCTTTCACTCTAAAAAAATCATGCATTTCTTCGCACTTCTGAATGCTTTCATGCAGATTTCGCAGAGGTTCAGTTATGCTTCCTCCTGCCACTAACTCGTTCAGAGCAATGGTAAGGTGGCTTTCAAACTGCATTTCAATGTCCCCTATTTCGTAACTTATCTCAAGTGCTTTATTAGCAAATTCTTGACTCTTTGCAGTAAGTTGAAATTCTGCACAAAGTTTTCCCAGATTTAAGTATGAAACTCCAACACCAGCTTTGTCTCCGATTTCTTGTTTGATCACTAGTGCTTTTTGAAGGTATTCTTCAGCCTTGGTATATTGACCAACAGATTTAAACACAGTTCCTAGAATTCCGTAAGCAGATCCTTCTCCTTCTTTGTCACCGATTTCTTTAATGATCACTAGTGCTTTTTGAAGGTATTCTTGAGCCTTGGTAGATTGACCAACAGAGCCAAACACAGTACCTAGATTTCCGTAATCGGCTGCTTCTCCTTCTTTGTCACCAATTCCTTTCCTGATCACTAGTGCTTTTTGAAGGTATTCTTCAGCCTTGATATATTGACCAACAAACTGAAACACAGTTCCTAGATTTCCGTAAGCAGATGCTTCTCCTTTTTTGTCACCGATTTCTTTCCTAATCACTAGTGCTTTTTGAAGGTATTCTTCAGCCTTGGTATATTGTCCAACAGATCGAAACACAGTTCCTAGAATTCCGTAATCTGCTGCTTCTCCCTCTTTATCACCGATTTCTTTGCTGATCACTAGTGCTTTTTGAAGGTATTCTTCAGCCTTGGTATATTGACCAACAGATTCAAACACACTTCCTAGCTTTCCGTAATCGGCTGCTTCTCCTTTTTTGTCACCGATTTCTTTCCTAATCACTAGTGCTTTTTGAAGGTATTCTTCAGCCTTGGTATATTGACCAACAGATTTCAACACAGTTCCTAGATTTCCATAACATGTTCCAACTCCGCGATTATTTCCAGCCTCAATCATGATGCTGAGTGCTCTCTTGTAAAACTGTTTTGCTTCCTCGTATTTGCTTCTTTTATAGTAGATGTTTGCTAGTTTAAGTAATGTTATCCCCTCTTCTTCTTTTTGGCCACTATTGTGTAGTGTCACTAGAAGCTTTTTACCACATTCTATCGCACGGATGTGATCGTACACTCGAGTATAGCCATCAAGAAGTTTACGGTATACATAGATAAGAAATGGTGTGGTAAGTTCTTTGATTGTCTCTAGGGCTTTACCGTTAAGGAGCATCAAAGATTCGTTAAAGATGTCTACTGCTTTTATAATACGTCCAGTGTTGAAAAGGAAAGTTGCAACATCTACACCAATATGAATGGTCTGTAGAATCTCTAAGATGTTGTCCATGACGCTTTTTTCTTAACCTTGAGAAAAAAAATATTTTAAGAGTAAGAAAGTGGAAACAAGATTGTTAATTATATACAACTTTTTTCTAACTGAACAGTTAAACTTCTTAGGCAAGATAATGAAGCTTTCATGTAAGATTTACTGAGGTAGGTCAGGATTATAAGTGTTGGACTATCATTTCTTTGGCCTATTCTATAGTTCTTGAATCTGCAAATGCAGAATATCTAAATAAATAGTTTTACAGAGTAGTTTGTTACCTACTGTTTAGCTCCCGGATACACCGTACTGTTGAAAATTCTGGAAAAGAAAACTATTTCAGCCACAAGCTTTTACAACAACAACGAGCGTTATTTGCATGACCATAAGTTCATATAGTATTGCAAAAAGCTATTTTGAGAAATGTAAAAAATGTAAAATTCAGCCATAATATTTTAGGATAGCTCTTTGTTAATTGTAAAGAAGAGGAATTTGTATTTAAATGCTTTCTACTTTGTTCCATTTTTAGTTCTGACACATTCGTCTTCTCTAGGACTTAAAAAATATTAAGGCGAAATGGTTTGGTATTTCATTGGTGTTTATAAAATAAATAGAACATTACATGGCCGCTTGGAGATACGAAATTTCTTTTCTTGTGTTGAAGAATTTTTCACGAGTGAGCGCAGAAATTTCGTATCTCCAAGCGGCCATGTAATATCCTCTATTTGTTACATTCCTAGACTTTCAATCAACTAATCAGCCCTTTCGGGACATTTTTTCTCTAAGTTTTCTCAGAATAAGATTGTAATGAGAGAGAAGATCCTTGTGCCGTTTTTGGATGTAATAATAATCGCTTTTTTCTAGTTTAGTATTAGAAATATGGTCTTTCACTGTATATTTCTCGGGAAAAAGGCGATCATTATTACATCCAAACACGGCACAGGGATCTTTTTTCCCATTACAATCTTATTCTAAGAAAAATTCAAGAAAAAATGTTCTGAAAAGCGCTAGAAAATACAAATGAAGTGTGCTCATGGCCCCTGGGCATCCTATAATACTCCTTAAATCGAATTAATTCAATATGGCCGCCGTATCGGTAAAAAGGTCTATTGCTGAATAAGAGTAACACTAACCATAAATGTAATATCCACCATAAATGTAATGAAAACCCGAACCATAAATGTAATAAATTATAAACCATAAATGTACTAACATTTTAACCATAAATATAGCAGGTATAGAAAATTGTATGAATTCGAGTACATTTCGAGTCTTTATTTATGGCACGAGTGATGTTTCAAAAGTTAAAATTGAACGAGCAATTTCATTGATGGTTAACAATAATTTTATCCGGTTGTCAGCCATTTTGCATGCGTTTCTATTTCACACTTCCTCGCTTTTCCAAAGAAGCTTCGGTACTGCCTGGTACTGCATTGTATAGCCTCTGGCACTCTATAAGCTGTTAATGTTTCCCTTGTTTGTCTATCACTTTAATGACTGCCAAAAGATTGACGTCATGGAGGTAGCTCCCTAGGTCACCTAGGGTATTTAATGTTTGATATGCCGTCTGTTTTCTATAGAGCAGAAACTTTATCAACTATCGTAACCAAACAGGTTAGTTATCAAATTTTTATATGTATTTTCTTTCTACGGGTAACGAGCCCGCATATGGGGATAAGTTTGTGAGGTACTGAGGGAAGACTCTCTCTTCAAAGTCACATCTATTCTAATAAGAGTTGAACGTGTCTGCTGAACAAGACAAACAACTGTTATTTATCTCCGTTTTTAATTTATTTTTTCAAACACCTTGCCATCAGTTTTACAGGAAAGAACCTGTAATCTAGGCGGCAGGCCTCAAATTCAGGGACTTAAAAAGTTCAGCACAGGTGAAAACTCGCAATCCTGCAAATATGAAGAATTTACGAACAGCTGTTTGTTTAACTGTATCCTATGAGTTTATAAGTTTCTTCGGTCAGTGTCCTCTACTAGCTAGACGTTAATCAATAAACACCTTAATGCGATATTTCCCCTTTGTTAATAGTTCCACTGAGTCCAAATATGTCCTTCTGGTCTCAGACTACATCGGCTCTTATGCAAACTCAATTGGAATACGCATCTCTTTTCAGGGGATAATACACAGCTGTACGTAGAAGTAAAAAAACTCATCCAGCAATTGACCCAATCCCCTCTAGCTTTTATTAACTGGGCTGCCTCAAGGCACGCCCTAGTTCATAAAATGGGTAGTTTTCTATCACTTATTAACCCACTTACCCAGAGGGCGTTGAGTGATCCTTCAAAAACTAATTCATAATTCATAAGCCCATTGACCAATCAAACAGTCGATCATACGTCACTTGCAGTGACTTTATATCGATAAAACCTCCCCTTATTAGTATTCGGTGTTTTATCAGATATAGAGTCACTGCACGTGACTTATACTCATGAATATTAATTATCAGCACAGCAACTGACACAACAAATGGTGGGTGAATATTTAATGTTCTTTCAAAATAACACACGAAGTAAATTTACTATTGCACAAAATTTCACCAATTTTATCAGCCAAAAGGTCAGTGACTGAAAGGTAATATTGGGTATAGTAGTGTCCAAGCGTTGCACTTAAGGTGGCTCGATTGGATTTTTGAGGGGGGATACTTCCCAAGTTTGGGCATTAACTACGTCGGCATGAGTAAAGATATGGGAAAAAGATTACCACAACTGTATTATATAAAGATGAAAATTTCTTATGATCTGGGTTTTATTATTTATTATCGGAGTCGCCATGGCAACGCAATGACGCCATTACGTATTTTTATTTATCTTTGTGTTTCTCTGTACCAGGAGTTTTTTGAAGAAATCGCTTAAGGGAGTATGTACCTGCCGCCATAATTGCCTCAATTATTGCAAAGTTTGAACAAATTCGATGGGAGCGTTTTGGAAATATTTTGAAACGAAGTCTTAAGAATCATAAAAACAGTGAAATAGCATACCATCTACACAATTAGCTAATATTTTAAGAAAATTGTAAGCTTTGGAAAAGCGGCGTCATCTCATAGTAGTTTGATTCCATTGAACACTGCGTACAAAAAAAAGAAGAGAATTGCTCCGGACGATCGCGAGCAAGAAGAATTTTATTAACCTGCATTCAGCTGCTTTTGTTGCAGTTTTTGCATGCAATTTGGTACACGCCTACAAATTTCGCATTATTCAGAAAACCGCTCGATGAATTTTTTTATAAACTACACAATCCCGAGATCAATTGTCAATAAATATACCCTGTAAGTTTCAAGAACATTGAAAACAGCGAAGGCTTTTAAATAGGGCTTCAAATATAACCAGCTGTTCCCTTAGATTTTCAGTTTACAAGTGTGCGTCCTCATTATTCACTGGCATTGTTTTCAAGTTTCATATGCACGTGCACGAATATAAACAAGGTTATATGAGAGACGTCAAACTAAATAGTTTGAATTAAGCGGGTAATGCTTGGCAATGATTTAAAGTAGCCATTGTCCTTGCAATCAAGTTCTCAAAATCTTTTGTTGATGTCGAGTCTGCCAGTATTTAGAAATCGCAGCGAAAGAAATCTTAATTTGTCCTACCACCGATCATCAACAAGAAATCGTTTCGCTTTCCGAGAAAAAGAAAAGACCGGAAACAAACAACTCTCTCTACTAATTCCCTCGTTGGCATCTCAAGAACTGAAACTGAATATTCGAATCCTAAACTAGGAAATGTAAATGGCTAGATCAACGTACTCACCAAGAAATCTGTCTCACCAGATCGAGAAGGAGAAGTACCGAAAGGAAAGTGAAAATTGTAAACTCTGGGACTGTCCCTGCAGTAAGGAATAAAGCCCCATATGTTAATAATTCCCCAAAAGAAACACCCTAGCTCCTGATATAGAGCGTTTTCACTAACGTGGCTAGCATTTATGCAAATTTATTGGAAGAAAAGAAAGCGTTTACATAAGAAAAGAGTTCAACTCCCACAGGACTGGTTTGGTACACCAACATGGCCGCCGTTTCACTTTTTTGGAACACCAATATGGCCGCCGTGACGTCATGAGAAAACGCTCTATAACACACGACGTGTCGCGAGGCAGCATGAACTTTCATACCAAGGGCACCCAACGACTTTTTTCTGTAAAATTAGTTGCAAGGAGCAAATATTGCCTAGAAATCTCTCAAACTTAGGAAAGGCCAGCTTGTTCCTATATCCTCTATTTTCTCTTTTAAGATCGTCGAGCGCGCGTATGAAAATAGAAATCGCGGGGATTTATGACCGCAAGCGAATATTGGGAATTTTTCTTAGTGTTAAGGGGAACTCAAAGTATTCACTTTCCGCCGAAGAAGTTTGTGGCGCCTGACTTGCTATGAAGTTCTCAACGGCTGTTTCGCTGTGCAAGGTTAACGAACCCAGCAATCGAATGTAGCGGTGCCAAGATGTATTATAACACTTACGCTCTGAAAACCTAATTCCATCAATATTAACCCTGCAAAAGGAACGACATTTCGAACTGTTTTGCTTTCCAAGAAAGTGAAAAGGACTAACATGCTTCAATACAAACATTAGAAAAAAAACGGAAATGATTTATCTTTGTAACATATATCTATGCTACACTACCAAGAGCTTACCAGGAAATTTATCTCTAAGAGTACAGTGAAGTACAATAAAGCTTTAGGACTCTCCGCATTTTACGATCAGCTGATAACGATACCAAGAAAGGAATACGCAGTTTAATTAACATGCATGAAATAGACGTAGGGTTTTTTTTTTTTT